TTTCACCTTGAGCTGCTAAAGTATATCTACTGGAGAAACACGTAGCAAACAGCTGCTCTGCGAACCATTTGGATAGCATGATGACTTAGTGTAGTGATTCCATATTATCAGATAAAACAGACGTACTCTCTTTTGCATTTGCATTAGGATTACTAATAACCAGACTGATAAATGGCCTAGGATCAATACAGTGTGCACGCCGTAAATAAAAGTAAACAAAGATAGATAAAAATTTGTGTGAATTTCCTGGTCATAGTGTCTTTGTACTTCAAATTTTAACGAAGTGGAACATCTCCATGCTTATATTTGTGACTTGCAATAATATCCTGGTTTTAACCAAAGGCTTCTTAGAAAAAGTATTTTGAATTTTGATTTAAAAGACGGTACAACTGGTTACTCAGGGGCTACTCGTTTAATTCAATATATCAATGTTTTCTTAGTGGAATTAAACATAATTACGCAATTACAATTGCTTTGACACGTGACTAAAAACTGTAGAAGTGCAGCAAAAAATAGCGTCTTTAAAGTGACTGCCTAACAAAGCCGTACGTTGAATCAGACTTCTTCAAAAATGCAAAGATTGTGAATAAACATCAGAACGACCTGTGCCTGAAATCTCAGAAACGGTCAGATGATCGTTATCACTAATGTAACGAGTGATGAGCCAGGAGGCTGCGTAGAAAAGATGAAAATAAAGCAGTTAATTTCGAAATTCAATCTGCTTTCATTCACGACTGCTAAGTCAAAATATTTAAACTACGCAATTTCCGCAATTTCAATATAGTAATCTGTAATGACACTGCCTGATATTCCTTAAAAATTACTAAGCCCTGTAACATAAGGCGCTAATGCCTTTGGAAAGGTAGACGGAGAACAGTATTCAACACTTAATTTCATAAAAGGAATGGCTTCGTTACGAAAATTTAAGAAAGGCCGACATTCCAGCTGGGCAAACATTCTTTGAAAATGAAGCAGTGGAACGATAAAATGATTTAATCGGCACTCTATTTTGCATTCATCGATGAATATATTGAGAATACTTCAGCTGCATGAAGCAAGAGCTGAGTAATGATCCAGGAGTAGCTGATGACTGTGCTGAGATGTACGACTAACGAAGTAATGCTTCACGTTTAGGCAGTGTGTGCAAATTGAGCCGATACAATTTGGGCAAGAGTAGTCGCATGCAAATCAGGAAGACGCACAGTAACTGTTGATAACAGAATCCTTATTCAATCAGACAACAGTTCTTATAGATAGACCGTAAGAATCAACTTCCTTTAAACTTTGGCTTAACCTCTACCCGAGAACTTTCAAGCAAAGAACTCAAGCAATTCCGAACCGATGTTTGAAGCTTTTCATATTTCTCATTTGCTCCGATTACTGCCTACGCTATATCATAAAAGATGACAATTTGTTTGAGGCAATAAGAATTGTCACCTGCAGCCCCCTGTGGACAGGTTGCAATCAGTCCTTTGATTCCTTGATTGTGTCTCGCTTTCAACTTTTCGAATGTTGAACCAAGACGAGTAACAAGTAATTGCGCAATTTAAAAATGACTAAACAGCTTCTAATAAATCTGCTCTGACTCCGGTTGTTTTTTTATCCGAAGCTGAAAGGTTGGTAAAGGATCGGGAACATTTGAAGCACTGCCTAATGCGTCTGTTTCTGCGATCCTAAGGGACAAGCTGTGATAGAAATTGAACTAAGTTGAAAATTTTTTTCAATATTGCTCCAACAAGTACAGTGCAAGAAAGTTGGGGAGAAATATGTTTTAAATCGAATTCTGCAGGAACCTATAACAGACCTGCTTAGGACCTGCAGATCTTTACATCTGTACATACAAACTATTTCGAAGTGGGAAGACGTCGACTTTTCCTTTCTTTGCGTGTATTATGGCTGATTAGTTCTGTGCGTTCTAAGTTATGTTTCTCTTCTTACCGATAATAATAAACTTAAGATACAGATTCTTTAAACAGCTTATTTTCTAATTCCTCTTTTGTGTTTTCTGAATTAAGGCATCGTCTTTGTAATTTTGTCCCTTTGTTGTGCATCCTAAATTATGGCATAAATCGATGTTCTTGTATAAATCAATGAACTTACCTTTCCATTGATGGTAATATGTCATTTTCTGAGCTTTGGTATTTTATAGGTAATCAAAATCATTCAAGTTTTACTTTCATAGTTACTCATTGTTCGAAGAAACGCTAGACTCTGTGATCTTCTCTGATATACTTCTATTATTTCAGCGGGAAAAACACTCTTTTTTCATTGATACAAAACTTTTACGAACAATATCAAGGAAACTGCAGATGTGTTTCGCTTGAGACAGTTTGGAAAACCCTTGCTTTATATTTCTGCAAAAGCCTTCAGTTATGTCCTCGATTTGACGACGCTTCCAGTTCCTAGTTTATCCTTGTTTTCCATATGTATTTGAGGATGTATGGCGAAAAGGATTTATGAACTTCACTAAACTGAGCCGATGGTAATCTTGTATTAGTCACTGTGATCCCTTGAGTGTTCGATATGCAAACCACGTGTTTGTTACTATTTTTTTGTTTCGTTCGTACTCGTTCCATTTTGGATATCATGATTTTCCTTTATTTCAGATTGCACGTTCAAAAGCCATATTTCTTGATTTCTATAACTGTTAATTTATTGTCAGAATTTCGTAGCGATTGATTACCAATTTTGATTTGAAGATTTTTGATAAGAAGGACGAAACCTCGTTTGGATTGTTCTAGGCTCTGGAAAAAAGCTTACCCAGGCCAACTTTTATATGTTTATCTAATTAAACGACGGCCAGTTTTCTAGTTAACGTGGTTCATTGGTTTTATACAACCTAAGTGCTGTTACTTTGAAATTATCTTGGGACGTAAGCTTCTGAAAATAGTTTATAAATGTTAATTTAAATTAAAGTTTTTTCCATTGCTTGGTCGCAGTTTCAAAGCTTGTGATTGTCTTCAGTCTCTTAATTCTGACCTATTTTATTGTAAAGAGATTAGTGAAATTGTTTTCGTAGTTGCTATTACATAATGCCCTCTGAAGATGGGTACATCTCAATCCGAAATGGACGGATTTGTTTAATAAAATATATCTGTCGAGTATACCCGTTGAAGAATATGGCTGTGAGATTTCTGCGGATATCAGAAGCACGATTTACTAGATGCTAGTAGTACGTAACATAATGCTTTTTGAAAGGTGGGGCTAATTAGGTGTCTTGCCAAGCGTACCAGTAGGACTGACTGATTACGGTATAAGAGTATGCTGTCAGAAGCCCTTACCGCTCGAAAAATCGACTATCCTCTGAAAATCGTTTGCTCTTTAAGCATGCCTAAGTCCATGTGAATCAGCAATGGAAAAAATCAACCATTCCATGTCAGAGTCCATGAGAAATATACCAAACATCCAATTTCCCCTTTATATTACTCTTGGAAGTCGTGGTATCAGCGAACAGTTCAGTTTCTAGATAAGTTCGATATGCGATATTCTCACGAATAAGCATAATTACACCAAACTGATCTCAGCAGTCACTGTATCGTACTAAGATCTTTAGGGCGCCGGTTAATCCGAAAGTATGCACGGTTTCATGGTGTTTATTTATTGGAAAAAAAACTTTGATGTTCTTAGCATAGTCTTTAACGCTGGTCTGCTGATTACTGGTAGATTTTAATTTTTTTTGGGCGAGGTGCAGTATAATTTATTTCTAATGTTTTTTTCGCATTGCTTAAAACAGTTAAGAGAGACATTAATTGTTAATAGTTGACCTGTTGCATTCGGTTTGATTTTTAAAGTCAAATGCATCATTTTTCTTCATCGCATTGTTTTCCATTCGTGGTTTTGGGCAAACGAACAACTAAAGATGATGCTAAAAGAGAATCTTTTTTAATGGTATGGTACAGTTCTTTACTGACCTTTTCTCAGAGACTAGGAATAATATTCCTTTCGTAATATAGATGCAAGCATTAATAGTTTTGCATGCATGCTTTAAACTTTCCTTGTCCATCTAATCTGTGTTATTTCTCAAAATTGTTGAACTGACGTTATTCTTAATCGGCTATTTTGGGGTAACGGGACACTAGAGTTTATTACAACAGAGAGCATGAACGAATTTGAAAGTGGCGTTCCTCATAGCCACTGTGCACGTCTGCGCTGACCAAGGACCTCTTAAACAGATTATTGATCATATGGAGATGACAGTTCATTAGATGGACCGCAGCGGCACTTTTGTTATTGACAGAGAATTCAGTCCAAACAAATCCACCAAAAGTTATGCATTTACTCTATGTGTCATAAATGGAAAACTAATCTCTTTAATGAGAAAAACTCATGGCTGTCCACTTGCTGCGCAAGATATAAAGGTGGTTTTTGTTTCTCTGTTCAACAACGCACGCTACATGATCGTTTCTATTGAATTAACCACTTTAAAAATTTTTCCTAGGACGCGAACGTAATCAAAATGCCTAGGAATGACCGCGAACGGGACAGGGATCGAGAAAGAGACAGAGATTTAGATCGCGACAGAGATCGCCATCGTGACAGAGACCGTGATCGAGATC